CACCTAGCCTGAGTGCTGGGAACCAAACCAGTCCTCTGCAACAGCAGTCCTCACTCTCAGCCAGGCTCTTGCTACTCAGCCCTGGCTGTCCTAAACTCACTCTGTAGACCAGGCTGTCCTGGAACTCACAGAGATCCACCGGCCTCTGCCTCCTGAGTGCTGGGATTAAAGGCATGTGTACACCTGGCTACAACATGTTTTGAATGAGGAGGTCACCGTTATTGGAATCATTAGTCTTCCAGAAATCTCTCCTTGAGAAATAGAAGAGAGACATCCTCCGGGCATCTAAGTCAGCAGGGTTGTTTTTGTTTTGCTTTGTTTTGTTTTGGGATGGGGGTGGGGGTATCAAACAAACTGAACTTTCTGAAGATAGTAGGTAGGTACCATAAAGGAGAAGGATAAAAGTGATCTCCAGGGCCTGGCTGCCTGAGAGAGTGACCAGTGCTATGTGACGGAGCTTCAGAATATCCCATGTGCATTAAACCCTTGGCAGCACATGAGATCACCCCTGGAGCCAGGCTTCCAGATGCCAGCTCATTACCCTGTTCACAGAGAACTGAGCGTCAGGACTCACTCACTCCCGTCCCCTCACACTGCTGTAAAGAACGGCGACCTCAACAGACAGCTCTGGAGCATGGTCTGCCGAGTCTACTTCAAAACTTCCAGCCTTATACTGGAGCTGCGCCGGAATCCCATGGGATTCCTGGAACTCCAGTCTGGCTGGGAAACTTTCAGAGAATTCTGAATACATCTCATGAGGAAGAGCTGTTTCCCAACTATGCTGTAAGTCTGGAGCAATTCTCAAAGACTTTCAAAAAGAAAAGACAGGGGAAGACAAAGGATTTGGGAGGCAGATTTTAAAAGCAATCAAAATAATTGACTCTATGAAAACAAGAACTATTTCCCTTTTTGATTTTTCCATAATAATATTAGACTTTCACTACTGACCTAAGTCTGAGGTTTGCTTTCCACAGTTAGTGCCTGTACAGCCATGGCAAATTCCCCTCTAGTCTTGGTTTCTGAATCTCCACAATGAAAATAATAACAGTTCTTTCCAGAGACATTGAAAATGAAATTCTCCATGTGCGTGTTTAACACTCATTGAATGTTAGCTATCATTACTGTCAAAAGCTGAGTAACCCTGGCAAACACACAGAAAAAGAAAAAGCAACTATAATCCCCCATCCATTTCAGAGCATATAATTCCAGTTGTTACAGGTGTGTTTTCAAAGAGCAAAAGGCTAGTGCTTTCTTTTTTTTTTTTTTTTTTTGGTTTTTCGAGACAGGGTTTCTCTGTGGTTTTGGAGCCTGTCCTGGAACTAGCTCTTGTAGACCAGGCTGGTCTCGAACTCACAGAGATCCGCCTGCCTCTGCCTCCCGAGTGCTGGGATTAAAGGCGTGCGCCACCACCGCCCAGCTCAAGGCTTGTGCTTTCTAATCCGTAAACTTGCTATTTAAATTTACCCCATACTCTGAGGATCTCCTATGTAACTCAATATTCAGTATGGTACAGTGTTTAAAGGCCACATAGTGTTCCTCCGGTGAGTCTACTTTTTGACAACTGTTGTAATCTGCTGGCCTGGTCTGTCACCCGGGTACCCAGTCCCTTCAAGAGACAAGCCCCTCCCACTCCCAACCTCCCCCTTCTGCCAAGGCAAGTGGATCTCCTACCTCCTCTCCATTCTCTCTCTCTGCCCTTCTGAAGAGGCAGCTTCTGCTTCTCTCCCTTCTCCCACCCTCCCCTTCCCTTTTTCTCCCCTTCCCTTTCACCTCCATAACCCACTAAATAAACTCTATACCCCAGCTGTCTCTGCATGACGTATCTATCTGTCTGTCTTCCCCTTGGCCTCAGGCCACCCACCAGAGGACCGGTGAGGCCTTGGGTAGCCAACTGCCGCCCCTCATGGGACAAGCCTCGGGTCCCACCTCTTCGTGAATGATAATGACAACCCCTTCTCTCTTCTCTCAATATGCAGGTTTCTAACCCATGTGCCTTGGCCAGATGGTGGCTGACTTTCTCTTGGCCGTTTGGAGATATGGCCTCCACCTCACAATCCATCACACTCACCCTGAGGTCAGGGACCCTTCTGTGGTCTGCTGACATCTCCAGAATCTCACCGGAAAACGCAAAGCCTACTCCGAGGCCACTTAGTCAGACTTTGCTGCTGGATGCCAGGCAGACAACCCTGTTTAACTAGATTCATTCCACAAGGTGCGGAAGGGAACATTGCCAGAGGGCAGTTTCCTCCAAACAGCAGAAGGTTGACTTCCAGGGCTTTAGGACATGATTAGAAATTCCCAGGAAGAGGAAGAAACAAAAGATTCTTATGGGGTGCATTGTTTTTCTAAGCAATGGGGCCACACAAGTTCAACACTTAGGACCTGCACTTAAATGAAGGCCTACTGACAAAGCCTTACTAATTCATACAAATGTGAGCTGTCAAACTGGGCAGAAGTGAGTTAGAGCCTTTTTAAAATAAGCCCTCCCCCATTTTCAGTGAATTCAAGTTTTAAATCCTTTTTATGTTTTATTTATTCTTTCACAATGTCATACATATGTAAAATGTACTTTGATCATCTCCCTCCCATTGTCCTCTTATCCCTTTCTCCCTCTCCAGCTGTGTGTGTGTGTGTGTGTGTGTGTGTGTGTTCCACTTCACTTTATTAGGATTGCTTGTTCTAGCATGGGTGGGGGTTAAATACTCCAGCAAGGGCAACTTACCAATAGCTATATCACTAGGAATATCCCCTAGAAACTCCTCAGGGAAGGGTGGGGCCTTATGAGCCCCTCCCCATTCATGACGGACAGCAGGCGGGCCCCATTTTGTGGCTTTGAGTTCATGGGGCATCATCCATACCATGCTGAAAAGAATAGGTTTCCTTAGGGTGCCTTCCCATACTTCACTTCTTCCACTCTATTTGCCTTCTCCGCCATGTTCCCTGAGACTTGCAGGGGAGGATGCAGATGGCTAACCAACAGTCTCTTATTCTCAAGACTAAATGCCGGTACGATTTTCCCCATTACCATGGTCTTTAAATCTTTATTTCTCCCCTGACCTGCTTTAAAAGGTTGTTTGCAACATGTGTTATGGTCTCATTATTGTTTGTAGAGAAAGAGAATAGTTTTCCAGAAGCTTGTCTTCCTTAAGGGCTAGCTGAGGGATCTGAGTTCGGATCCCCATGCACTCACATAGAACATTCAACTTGGCCAAAACGAGGCATGCCTGAGCAGAGACAGGGTGATGCTGGTGTTTGCCAGTCTGTTGGAGAAAACAGTGAGCTCCAGGTTCAGTGAGAGACTCTGTCTCATGGGAATAACATCCTCCCCCGCCATCCATAGATGCATGCACACATGCATACACAACACACACATAAACACACCTTCAAGAAACCAACAGAAGTATGTGTTTCTCACATACGGTGAAGCGCAGCATTCCCCTGCAGTTCCTCCCACACAACAAAGTTTTGATGAAGCCCTGGCTGCTTCCAACAGCTCTGATTCTGAGCCGGTGAGGCAGACAGTCAAAATCACTCAATCCCTAACACACAAACAACGAACGACAACAAAAACTACCCCCAAATCCATCTGCGTAGTTCCAGGAAAGACTTGAGAGGCTCTCTGGAAGCAGCCCTAGAACCAAGCCCATCATGGAAACATTGATTCAGCCATAATAGAACCCGACCTAAAAACCACACAAATGAACTAAACAGCTCTTCCTCCCAATCAAAACGCAGCTAAAGCCGCAGCCTCAGGGCTAGAAACTAGCGCTGTGTTTTATTTTGTTTGTGGTCCTTCTCATTTTAGCCTCTTCCATTCTTTCGCTTGTTTGCACAACTGCAGACCAACAGCCTTCCTGCCCAAGCACATCAGGCAAATTAAAACCTCTAGCCTGGGAGAGGCTGTAATAGCTGGGTTAGAGCAGTCAAAAAAAGAAGAAGAAAAAGCTTCACTAACAGTTAGTGGAGACTGAAGTCCTCACTTTGAGAAGACCAGCTTCTGCACGGTATGTTTTATTTACTGTTCGCTGCTTTTTTTGCTGCTTGTTTGTTTGTTTTTTTTCCTTTCTGTGGCGGCAGTGGAGGGGGAATGGCATGCGCCCCGGTGCGTGGGTTGAATATGGAGAACAATGTGAGGGAGTGGGTTTTCTCCTTGCAATGTCTGGGGTTCCCAGCAATCCAACTCAAGTTGTCAAGGCTTAGCAGCAATCACCTTTACTTCCTGAGTCATCTAACTGGTCCTGAACACATTTTTTTGGCTAGCATTCTATGTTGTATTATAAGTTTTGCAGTCTAATTAGATTAACTATCATTGTTGGGGGGGGGTATACAGTTGGGAAGAAAGGAGACATAAGATAGACAATTAGATACCCAGGATGGGTGCTACCGAACCATACATATAGTAGAGTCTTAAAGGGAATCTATTTTCGTTCGCACCTGCACCCACAGGGTTCACATGCCTAATCCGGGCACAAGACATTGCTGCAACAAACCCTAGGGCAGAGTGTTCTGACGCCTGTGTGTGGACCCCTTGGCCTGGCTGGCTTGGCCTGGCTGGTCATCTCAGAGGAAAAGAGGGATGGAAGCGAACCCAGCGGTGAGGACAGGACCACCAAGAACAGGAGCCTGGAAGACTGTGGGATGGGGTTGGAAGTATGGTAGACGTGGGGATCCTGAGTTCCAAGGGAGCTCTTGCGGGACAGGGTCTGGTGCCCAGGTCTGGGTGAACCAAGCATGGGTTCCTACAGTCCCCGCCCCGTCCTGCCTGCCCGGGAACCTGGCTGTTCGGTGCAGCTGAACTTTTCTTTCTTTGCAGTTATGCCCAGGGCAGAGAGAAGTCTGCGGGGGCCCAGCCCTTTGCGGGCCCTGGAAGTGTCCAGGAGGGAAAACCCCGGAGAAGTCCTCTGTCCCCGCCCAAAACTCGAGCGAGCTGGGGCGACCCCACCCTGGAGAGGGGCTCTCGCCAAGCCTCCTCCGCCCGGTCCCTGGGGCTGATCACTCACGGGCAGCGCTGCTGGTGCTCCGACTCTGGCCGCGGCCATCCACACAGGGAAGAAGAGAGGGGAGGAAGGGGAGGGAGGAGGGGAGAGAGGAGGGGAAGGAGGGCCCTGGCGACTGCGCGGGGCGGGGGGGGGGGGTTTGTCGCGCGGGCATTCCTTTAGTCCCCGCCCCTCTTCCCTGCGGGATCTTCCCTTTTTTTCTCCTTTCTCCACCCTGGATCCCCCAAAGTTTTTCTGCTGTGAGTTTGAACACTTGCTTCTCTCCCCAAGCCAGCTGTTCCGGGCAAGTCTGTACTCCCCAAAGAAAGAGACGTAGCTTCACCCGAAGAAGTCGGAAAGGGGGTCACCAGATTATTCTGGAAGCCGCCTCTTTTCCTTTCAAAGTGGAACCAGTCGGGTCTACAGCGAAGGATGGATAGTCATGCTAGGGAGGAAAAAAAAGCCTCCTTCCTGGGTGAAATCCACACTCAGAGAAGGCCAGGCGAGTGAGTGAAGGGCTACGCTGTGTGCCGAAGGCAGGAATCTGCAGCGCTTCCTAAGTGCTTCCTGAAGAGTACGTGAGAGAGGAGAAAGGAAAGACCTCCTCCTCCCCAGGGTTTCCAGAACAGTACTTCTCCTTGCCGGTCCACAGGTGACTCTCAGCACATCTTGGTCTCTTTCTCAAGTGAGACCGAACTAGTCACAAAAAAAAAAAAAAAACGGGAGTGGGATGCCCCTTTTCCTGGAAGGACGCCGCCGAATCCCAGAATGGAGTCTTGAGTTGGATTAGCTAGGATGTGAGGGAAGAGGACATTCCGGGCCCGATGGTTTGGAATATTTGGGAGAGGTGGGAAATGATGCATTGGACTGTGAATATAAAAAGAAATCACGAAGGTTTTCACGCAGAGCATTCCCATTCGTTTCGGCATTCCCCAGGATGGACACTCAGTGGGGCACCAGGTGAATTCCTGTACTCACAATGGCAGTTGAGAAATAATGGTTTAGTGGTCTGCACGATGAACTGCCCGGGAAGAGAACTCGTGCCTGAGTTAGGTGGGTAGGTATAGTTCAGCCTGAGTGCTGGGCTGCCAGGTGGGGGAAGCTGGGAACCCTGGTGGAGCCTTCCCCTGAATTCACAGGTCAGTGGGATTCATCTTTAAAGCACCTTTCCCAGTGTCATCTTCGTGACCTTGAAAAACCTGGTAAAATAGAAAAGATATTCAAATAGTCTGTCCAGCCACCAGGATCCAGGGAGGAAAAGGAGCTCCAGAGAGGGCACAGGTGTGTCTGATGCCACACAGTTGGACACACATGTTATTCTCTGGTAAGATTTCTAAGTGTGTTTATGCTTAGAGCATAATGCAATGGAAATAAACTAACAGAAGGAATGTCCCTCACCTCCCCATTTTCTCTCACTACCATCCCAGTAATGGCCAAGATCTGAGGTTCAGCCAGTGAGCTCCCAGAACATAGGAAGTGAAAACCTGGTAACTTTGGTGGGGATGGATTTCCCTATGGAAGCAGACAGGAGCTGATCAACCTTCTGGTAAGAAGGTGAGGGGAGTGAAGAGCAAAAAGGACAGAGGAAAGGAGAGAAAGAAAGGAGGAAAAAAATGGGTCTGGCTAAGCATGGCGCAACGATGCCTGCCTACCATGCAAAGCCTGGCATTTGATTGCCAGCACAATGTTGTGTGTGTGGGTATGTGCTTGTGAATGTGTTCAGAAGGCCAGAGAGGAGCAGCAGATCCTCTGGAGATGGAGTTACAAGCAGTTCTGAGCTTCTCAGAATGGGTGCTGGGAACCAAACTCTGGTCCTCTATCAGGGCAACACCGTGCTCTTAACCGTGGGGCCCTCTCTCTAGTCCAGAGCACCAAATAAGATAAATGACAAGTAGGTAGACATACAGACAGATAGATAGACAATAGATAGAAAGATGGATAGATATTAATAGATATCGATAGAGATAGTAGATGGTAGGTGATAGATGGATAGAGATAGATGACAGATAGATGATAGATAGATAGATGATATAGAGAGATAAATAGATGATAGATAAGTATAGAGAGATAGATGATAGATAGATAGATAGATAGATAGATGATAGATATAGAGATAAATAGATGATAGATAGATTTAGAGATAGAGAGATAGATAGAGAGATAGATAGATGATAGGTAAATAGAGATAGAAGATAGATGATATATTTAAAAATAAAGTCGGTGGCTGAGTTATGCTGTTGCTGTGCCTTGTTCTACCTCTAGCTTCCCAGGAGGCCAGCCCATCTCAGAAATGGCACAGCTAACTGAAGAGAAGAAGCATACAGAAATCAACACACATGCAGAAGTCACTACCACTACAGCGACTTTCAGAGTGCACCTTTTTACTTTCGCCGTCTTTGAGATAAGCAATATTGCTCTGGTTAGTGGGGTGGGGAGCTCAACTGGCGAAAGAATAGCATGGAAAACCTGACGCTTCTCTAGGGAGCAGACGGGCGTGGACTTTTCTAAAGACTTCTACAGTTCGCTGGCACCTGCTTTATCTCTTAACCAGGGACGCTCCTTCCCTTCTGTGATCCGCGCTGCTCTGGAGCTTGCCACTTTCCTCAACACAGATCTCTTTCTCCTAACTCCAGCACATATTTCCATGGGAGCCTCTCTGGCAGGGTCCTTTCTGTAATCAAATCTGGTGGCAAACAGCTTAGCCTATCCTCAGCTAAGCCACCACAGCCATGTCACCAGCTGGGGACCTCATTCCAGCTCCTTTTCCCTGCTGTACAAAACAGACCCTCAGAGAACATACTTCTCAACTTTTCAAATAACATTATTTTTTTTTTTTTTTTTTTTGGTTTTTCGAGACAGGTTTCTCTGTGGCTTTGGAGCCTGTCCTGGAACTAGCTCTTGTAGACCAGGCTGGTCTCGAACTCACAGAGATCCGCCTGCCTCTGCCTCCCGAGTGCTGGGATTAAAGGCGTGCGCCACCACCGCCCGGCTTTTCAAATAACATTTATTTTTATTTTAAGTGCATTAGCATTTTGCCTACATGTATGTCTGCGTGAGAGTGTCAGACCTTGGAGTTACAGACAGTTGCGAGCCATCATGTGGATGCTGGGAATTGAACTCACGTCCTCTGGAAGAGCAGCCGGTGCTCTTAACTGCTGAGTCATTTCTCCTGCCCCCACCCGTCTCAATTTTATTCAGAGCTCCCCCCCCCATACTCCACCTCCCAAACTTTTCATGGACCCACTAAGAACTTCTTATGAGATTCCTGAATTCACACAGCAGTGGGATTCTGTTTTAAACACTTCTGGTATTGTCTTTGTGACCTTGGAAAGCCTAGTAAATGGAAAAGATATTGAAATAGTTTGTCCAGCCACTGGAATTCAAAGAATTCAGGATTCAGTATCACAAGAAGATCTTCAAGGTTTTTGAAATAGGACCTGGGGAAAACTCAGCTACCTTAGAATTCTTCAAATCCAAGTCAGCTGAAGCTGTTAGGATCAATAGACCTTCAAGAGGAGGGCCAGGCTAGTCTCAAATGGTTAACGAGAACACTATTTCTCCCAAACTTCACAGCCATAGTCTCTGTTTGGATGACAAGAACCGTTCAGGACAAAGTGATAGCTGTGGAGGAAATGTATTAGAGAAGAAAGAACTTGGTACACAGACATTTTACACTCACGAAATGTTCTGAGCCGACCCAAGCTACTGCTATGTCCTTTCCTGAGGAAATGCAGCTGTGCTTTGGATGGAAATTTCCTGAGCTAAAAAGCCTACATCTTCAACAGAGAATGCCAACCAAAAGCAATCGATTCTAACCAGGCAGCCATTGTCAGTCTTTTAGCATAAAGATGACACTTCTGGTATGGTTTGAGCTATCCTGACTGCTGGCTACAGCTGGTTCGTGGCTCAGTGCCTGGGACTATCTATCTATTGCCTGCTTTCTGTGTAGAAGATACCCTGCTATGCAGCAAACATCAGTCTAAGGAGTGATTCCTGCTTCAAGTTCCTGCAGGGGTAGAGGTCGATGTCATACATTAAAACACAATGTGAAAATTGTCCCTTTAACCCAACTAAGGAGGTGACCTAGGTAGGAAAGACTGAAATGACGCAATGCCTACAGAACTCAGGAGACTGAGGAAGGAAGATCATGAAGTCAAGGTCTAGCAAGAAGGAAGGAACAGTCAGGGAAATGGAGGGAGGGAGAGAGGCCAAGGGAGAATATTCTTCAGTATTTGAACAGGGTATGACTGACTTTCTGTTGACTGGATTATGCTGTTTCTATTCTAGGGCCCAGAGATTTCCCTTCTGGGCCATCCCACCGTACTCCCTGGTGCTTAGAAAAGCAGTGGAGTTCAGGAGTAATTGAAGACCCCAGTAAAACCAACACTACGGTTCCAACTGGCGAGTTGCCTTTGGAGGCCCCTCCACTTTAGGCTCCAGCATGCTTTCTCTGCTGAGTCTGTTCACAGAACGTTGGTCAAAGATTTGGAAGAACAGAGCTGCCCTTGCCAGCTAGCCTCCTAATTTGGAGCTAATTACTGAACTGCTCAGAAATGTGAGGCAGAGGAATGCGCTTGCTGACTGCCTTCCCATTCATCACCATGGTATCTGAGGACGTGGCTCTCGGCCGAGAACAGGAACTTCCTCTGCAAACACAGAACAGACAGCCCTTGTTGGTCTGGATCTCAGATGTTTCTCACTATCATCTGCCATTGTCTATGGTTCTCTTCTTGTTAAAGTTATGGAGAATGTTTAGGACTTTGAAGGCCAGGGAGGGCTGAGCAGGTAAGAGCACCCATTGCTCTTGTAGAGGACCCTGGTTCAATTCCCAGCACTGACATGGTTACAACCACCTACAACTCCAGTTCCAGGAAACTGCCTCTACTCTGACATCCGTGACCATCACACATGCGCATGGCACACATACATGCATGCAGACTAACACACATGCACATAGAATCAAATAAGTATTAAAAATACTATTTTTAAAGACCGGGGTCAACCTCAAGAGATAACGATGCATAAAACAGATCTATAAACTGTACCTTTTCTCTCTGGGCATTTTTACCATGGAGAAGGCTTTCCATCGACTGAAGAAAGCTTTGATTGCAACTCAATCTGTGCCTTTCAGC